ATAATAAATTTTATTTATATGATTACATTTAATAATTTTATTAGCCATCACCTTAGATTTTATAACATATTGTTTAGAATTAGTTATTATTTACACAAACTTTGATATAAAACATTTTAACATATAAATTATACCACTAATTTCATATATATATAATTATGAATAAAGTTTATAAATTTTAATATTATAATTTATAAAAAAATAAAATAAAATTTTAATCTATTGATCCAGAACCAGATTAATCAAATCAATTTTATATTTAATCAATTTTATTTTTTTTATATTTAATTAAATTTAATCAAAATTTTAAAATTAATTGATTTATTTAGTTTTTAGATACGATGGATCAAACTATTTAATCTATTTATTTGTTTAACTCTAGATTTGACCCAGATCTGCTAATCCTAACGCTGATCCGAGTTGGGCCTAGGTGGATCCGACCCACCTCTTCGTTTTTTTATCCAACTAAACGACGTAATTTTGGACTTCCTATAAAATGTTAACATAACCGTAAAAGCGAACCCGTTTCTCTTTTCTTCTTTTTTGCCTCTTTTGCTCCCACTGAGACCCTACCCTCTCTTCTATAGCCCTTCCTCGGTCCGCGGCACAGTCGCTTTCGCCGGCTTAGGCCTTTCCGACGGCAGTTCCCTCTTTCCTTCCCTCTCCTCTTTTCTTCTTTTCTTCTCTTCTCTCTTCCTTCTGCCGCCAGTTTCCTCTCTTTCTTCTTTTCCGGGTGCAAGGTCTCCTTCACTGTTAGAACTGTATAAATACCTCAGAAAACTATCCTATCCATATCACCCACCTCTCTCTCTCTCTCTCTCCCAAAAAAAAAAATTTTTACTGTCTCCCTATTAATCCATTAAATCAGGTAATTTTAATTCAATAATTCTAATTTAATTTTAGTTTTGTTTGTATTCTTTAGCATTCATGTTTCTTTCTTCTGCAACAAGTGCTCTGAAAATAAATATTCTTTGCTGAATTGAATCTGGAATTGATTTATTTTGTATTGAATGTGTTATTTTTGATCTGGGTGTTTTTAATTCTTCCAAAAGGTGTTAGATTTAGTTTTAATGGGTGGTAATCATTGGTGATTTTGAAGGGATTAGATAGATTCTAGCTTCACATTATTGGATTATGTGTTATCGGGAGCTAAAGACTCTTTTTTTCTTGGAGTGGTTTTTACTTTTCTTCCTTGCGAAAATTGTATGAAGGAGATTGCTGCATCTGCGAATGTTTATCTTTCTTGTTGCATGGGAAAGTAAAATGGACTAAGACTCAATTCAATCAAGCCAGAGCGCTTGTTGGTTTTAGTGTTTTCTTTCTCGTAAGTATTTTGTGTTGGTTTTAGCATATATGGGTTCTAAATCAGTTGAGTACATGATAGAGGCCTCGTCCGGGGTTCAGTTTTTGTGGGGTCCGTATGGATGGTTTGGAGTGGAGAAATAATGGAAAGACAGTTATTATAAATTCAAAAGACTTCTATATCACGGGACCTGTGTTATTAACACACCTGTTTAGGGACAATTTTAATGTATGTTATAGATAGTTTCTGCCCTCTATGACATGATTATGATGCATAGGTATCTGCTGTATTAATGCTTATGTTGCTGCTAGGGTGAACATGTGATGTGTGGACAACAATAATGTAACTTTAAGATGTTATTATTAGGGAATTGAGCTCATCACTTAGTTGTATTATTTTGTAATAAATATTCATGATAATTACATCTTTTTTGTTATTTGGTATTAAAATATAAAATTAACTTTTGTATTTGGTATCGACGATAATTGTAGAAGGGAGGAGGGTGAATTTTTTGGTAGGGCAAAATAAATTGAACAAAAGAATATGACCCATAATTGAGATAAGGACTCCATTAGGAAAAATAAAAGAATGGGACCCAATTAGGTACAAATAAAGAAGAAATATTCAATTGGGTATGAAAAAAAAATATAAGTTTATTCGCAAAACTCCTTATAATTCAACGACATTTTTTGTTATTTAAGCCCAAAAAAAAATTATTTCTAATGCGTTTTTACTCAACAATAAACTTTTTTTCTGTTTCTTCCCTCGTCGTTTCCCTTTTCCCTTAGCAATCTCTGAACTTACTTATTATTCTGAAGGAGAGAAGAATGGAACGGGACTGCAATGAAATTGGCGAGTCCCAATATAACAATAAGGAAGAAGAAACGGAAGAAGTAGAAGGCAAAGTGGGAGATAAAGAGGATGAAGATGATGATGAAGAAGAGGAAGAAGATGATGATTACGAGTTTAGATTCAAGAGCGGTATCAACCCATTGGAGTTTGTGGGGGAAAATGCTTCTGGTCTCCAAATTTATCAACAATTTGAGCGTCTTGAGTATGAAGCTCTGGCTGAAAAGAAGCGCAAAGCACTTGCTGACGCCCACCTGTAGACTCAACTCTTCCCCTCTACTCGACTGGTTTTAATCTTTTCCATTTAATTGTCACCTTGGTATTTGATTCTTTAAGTTTCTCCCAATTTCTGACAACAGAAGTGAAGGTCCAGCAAAGAAGGCTAGGCAAGAGGATATCTCTGAAGCAACCATGGATGAAATAATGCAAGTCATTAACTTTGGTGCTCGAAGAAAATCAAAAAAGGTACAATATTTGTTGTAAATGATCATTTTCCTTCATTTTAGTGTAACTTCATCATCAATTGTTGATAGAAGATTGATGATCTGTTCTTGCCTTTTTACTCATATTTATAATTTACTGCTGTGTTTGAAGGTTGATTTCAATCTACTATATTAAAGGGCTAAGAGTCGCTAGGAACTATTCTTGTTAGCTGGGATATCTGTTGATTCTTCAAAAAAATTATTATAAAATCAACTGGGAGGAAAGGTAGAGGGACTTTTCACTAGTTATAATACTAAAAATGTACTTGTCTCATATATATCAAACTCAATGTCAGCACTCTTTTAAGCACTGGTTGTTTTCCAGCTGAAATTTAAGTTGTGGATATGATTTCTTCACTTGCATCCTCTTCCTTGTCATGTTCTTTAGTTGGTGCACTCACAGTTGATATCATAATGCTTTTCGTGAGTATTAAGTGATTTTCTAATAGAGTTTTTAATCATGTTATTTGTGGATTGCTTATCTATGAATTCGGCTCTATGTGTGATGTCAAATTTCTGTTTCTGCATCTCATCTTATTTGCCACATATGCAGCGTAAGAAACGAGGAAGGCGAAAGGGATCAAGGAATAAATTGAGCCCTGAGATTTTGGGCATGCTCGGAGATGCTACGCTCCACTATGCAAATGGCCGTTACAAGGAGGTATGCATTTAATTGATAACCACATTTCATGCTGCAATATATTTGTTTCAGTTAGAGTAGAATAGTGTGTTCCAATCAATTTTGAATATGCAATTTCCATTACTTTTTGGATCCATGTGCAATTTTCTCACCTTGCATTGGATGTGGGAGTTTTGGTTCTAGGCAGAATAATTCATTGGAAACCAGTGACAATGTTGTATGTGGGCCAGTATGATGGTTCTCGTCATGAAGCAGTTTAAACCTTAAATCTCCCCTGATTAATTATCTTGAGGCATTATTGATGTATTCTATCAATGCAATTCTCAAGTTGCATTCAATGGAAGAATTTAGAGCATGTTTGGTTCATTGGAATGGCTATTCCATTCCAGGTCTATTCCATATGGAATAGCCATTCCATAGCTTGGTAATCTAGCCATGGAATGACTAATACCGATGAGGGGGCTATTCCTTAAACTTCTGCGGTAGCCATTCTGAAATCACCTCCGGAATAGCTATTCTGCCCAACAAGGAGTAGCAATTTTCTTCTGCTCCAAAAAAACGCTTTAAAAACAAAACAAGTCTCTTCTCATATTCTAGTTGAAACTTGACAGCAATCATCAAGATATTTGGCTACTAAAGTCCAAGTTAGGCCATTTTTGGCACAAATCAATTGCTAGTGACCAAAAGGGAGCTGAATCTTGCATCAGCTTCTAGATCGATGTCTGGTAGCATGAATCCAGCGCATCACAGTGACCAAATGTGGTTACTTTTAGTGCTGGTGTCTCACGGCATCCAAATCTGGTTGTGCGAATTGATAATTTAACATGTTGGTAACCAGACAAACGCGAGCTAGCTCCAATTTGTTGAGGCCTTAAAGGCCCTTGGTTGGCCAGATCTGGCCGAGCTGATGCTGAATTTGGCACCGGAAGGTCAGATTCAGTCAGCTTGAGCAGTTCTAGGCTTGCTGGCAGTCCAAGAAGTGGCTTTGTTGGCATCAGGAAGGAAGTAAAAAAAGAGAGGAAGAAAGAGGAAATTAGCAAAAAAAAAAATGAAATAGGAAAAGAAGAGAGAAACAAGTAAAAAAAATATCTTCCACTTCATAATTTTACTTTTTGAAGAATATCACATGGCTGCCAGAAAAAAATGAAAAATATTATGAGACATTGGCTCTGTTATCTTTGGTGGGTGACATTGCAACTATGATCAAACTTGGTGTTTATGATTTTGCAAAATAGAATTTTATATGCGTAATTAGACACAATAAAAGATGGAGGGCATATTTCTATTTTTGGGTAAAGTTTGAGATATTTAGGTGGTAGGCCATTTTTTTTGTTAACATACAGTTCTTTATTATTCTGCTCTATTGACTCTTTTCCAAATATTTTGGTTGCAGGCCATATCTGTGTTAAATGAAGTTGTTAGGCTTGCACCAAATTTGCCTGATTCATACCATACACTTGGACTTGTACATAAAGCTCTTGGTAATAATAAAATAGCTTTTGAGTTCTACATGCTAGCTGGAATTCTTAAACCAAAAGATTCATCTCTCTGGAAACAGCTTTTTACCTGGTCAATGTAAGTTGTTTGAGTTGATCATTCTGCTTTTATAGTTTTCTCATTTACTGCTTTAACAAACAATGATATGACTTGTTAATGTCAAACATGACAATTAGAATAAAAGGAGGAAACAGGAGAGCTACCTAACCCTACAGTAGCCCTTCTCTTTGCAATAATATCTCAGATGCAGATGGTTTTAATTCCTTTTTTGGAAGTTTTGGTTTCCCTTGTGTGAATTGTATAATATTTTAAAAATAGAAATATAGGTTCATTTTGACCTGGATCTGTTAAGTTCTATTATTGAAATACATGATATGTTTGTCCCTTCAAAAAGGAAAAACTAGTTCAATGCTGTAAGCAATTTACATATGCATTATAAATGGATAACCCATGTTGGTCAGAGAATAGGACTCTATTCTGTTCATGCTTAGGGCACAGCTCTTGATAAGTTTATAGGGCTGAAAGAAAATCCTTCATTTCCAGGAAATAGAATTTGAGTAGATAAAAAAGGAAATTTCATGTTCCTTTCTGACATCCTCATATTCATTGTATTTTCAGATATGAATTATTTTCTTCCTTCATTTACTCTGAAGAAACTATGTTTTGATATGTCTTTTACATGCATCCAATTTGGAACCCTTGCTTTTGAGCACCTGCTCCTTGGAAAAAAATTTTCAAGTGTCTCATTTGTTGCATATTAGACAAGAAAGCTGTACTTGATATTACTAATATGGGATAAGGTCTCTTAGGAGTAAAATATGCCCAAGTTTATTGGTGATGGCTTCTTGTCTTGCAATGGGCAAAGAATATCATCTTTGTTGTCCGGTTTATCTTGAATATAAGCCATACAGGGATATGCACATAGTTGTGTATAGCTAGTCAAGTACAAACCAGCCTATTTTTTTTGAGATTAACAGCTTTATTAAACTAACTTTGATTGGATCTAATAAATCTCAATAATTGTTATAAGAGAATTTTTAGTATTTCATTACATCTTTTCTATTTTAAGTATAGGGTAAACTCCACATAGACCACCTGTGGTTTGGCATCTTCTAACATAGCACCTTAAGGTTATGTTTTTTCCTGCATAAAACTTTGTATTTTACTTCTATTCCCAGAGAGGTAAAGGTGTTAAATTTTCAGTTAGTTTTTTTAAAAAAGACAATAAAAACCTTTCTTTTATAATTCTTTTGTTTTTTGTTTGTTTAATTAAAGAAAAAAAAAGGATTTGAATGTGTTTGGGTTTCTTTTATAACTTTTCTCTCACTTTTCTCTCCTAAACCCATTCTAAGATTTGGTCTCTCTACTTATTTTTTATGAAATGAATTTTCCCTTTTTGATGAACGCGATTCATAATTGATAGACTTGGTACATGTGATAGTGTCAATGTGAGAGCACTAGTACTCGAACCCACGACCTCTTACTGTGGACATGATTTTTTTTTTTAAACAAAATCAGCATAAACATCAAGCAATGTCCTCTCATCCTAGGCAGATAGCTATGGAGCTACAACATCAATTCACTATGGAATATGTATCTTCTATTTTCTTCATGACTATAAAACCAATGATCATTGCATCTTGAACACTCATTTATGAGTTTCAAAAGTCCAAGGAACCAAACTCTTTCGTTTTCAATCCTAAAATTAACTTGAGCAGTGCTCCAGAGGTGCCATTAGAGATCTTACGAATAATGACAACGCATCAAGATTCAAAACTGTAATTCCCCTAGCCACTCTTGACTAGCTGGCTATACTCAATGCCAGCAGCATCTGACCAACCAATGACAATCACTTCTCATGGAACTATCAAGGACCTTATGCTATGTAGAAGCTGCTCCAATTTCTTAATGAAAATTGGGATTAAATTGGCAAAGGGCATAACCCTTCTAGGCCTCTTACCAGCAAGAATGAGAATTTCTGTCTTCCAATTTCCCTGCCAATATTGTCTGTTTGAACTCCTGTCATAAGGATAGTCATACTCATCTGGAGGTCTTTCATAAGGGCTGCCTTTGCTTTCCCTGGGAGCTTTTCTGATTTCCTCTTCAAGATCATATTCTGACAGCTTAGCAGTATCTTTCTTCCATCAAGGGCATTTTGTTTTCCTTATATTTAGGATATTCCTGAGTCATTTCCTTAATTGTCTTTTTTCTATCTTTTTTTGCCTGATTTTTAATCAAAGTTCAGCGAAATCCTGCACATGCAACACCCCTGTTTTTGTGGATAATTTAGCTAAGTGAATTTGTTTTCAAAGGGATTAATGGAGTGCTAGTTAATGTTGAACAGTCAATTTATTATTCTCAATATGTGCTGAATCTATATCTAAACTTTAATTTGCTGCTGTTGATAGGATTTTACTGTTTCAGATAGAACCAAAGAATGGTGACCCACAAAAAGGAGTGAGAAACTGAGAGAAAAGTCATAATAAAACTAAAAAACCTCAAATCTTTTGTTTTTTCTTTAATTAAACAAACAACAAAGAAATGAATTTATAAAAGAAAGGTTCTTATTGTCTTTTTATGAAAAAACTAACTGAAAATTTAACACCTTTACCACTTTTGGAAACAGAAGTAAAACACAAGGTTTTATGTGGGAAAAAAATAATCTCAAGGTGCTGAGTGAGAAAATGCCATACCACAAGTGGTCTATGTAGAGTTTACCGTTAAGTGTATTATAAATTGAAAACCTTTTATTTTTAGATCTTTTGTCTTGTGATATTGGACATATTAGGGAAAGTCTGCCTACTTAAATTTTATGGTAGACTAGGGCTGGAAAACTAGGGACTTTAATGTTTTAATGTCTATGGTAGGATTAGAGGGTTTATGGATTAACCTGGTGATGTAGGGCAGAGATTGAATAATAAGAAGAAATCCCCAGCTTTACACCTAGGGTTCCCTCGGTGTGACACCCGAGGTTGATTACATTAAACGATCACAAGAGTAGTAGTATGGTTGTAAATTCTTTGATGATAATGCTCTGTCTAAAAAGACAGATTATGTTGATAAATATAGACTGCTACCTTTCCTTGTCCAATAAGAACCAACACTGCTACTGCAATAGTAGCTTTAATGTATAGTCAGATCTCAGGTAGGAAGCTATCCAATTAGAAATAGCATACTTGACAATAACACATTAATTTAAACCCAATAACATTAGGGAAACACAAAATAAGACTGAAAGCATAAATCTTAAAGTATAACAGGATTAATGTTTGGCAGTTTTGTGATGTGCATAAAATTTTAGGTTATAGAACAATGATTGGGCCACTTGATATCACAAGATCTGAGAATTGGTGTAAACAAGAAGGATGGCCTGTGATAATGTAGTTATTTTAATTTAAGAAAACTACCCGAACTAAATATCAGCATTTTGCTTCCACTGATGTCCATCAGAGCTTCTCAATATATCCTGCATTAAATGATTATTCTAGAGGAAGTGAAACCAAATGAGAACTTGCTTCATATATAGTTGTTTCACTTGCTGCTTAATCCTTTATTGAATGAAAAAGACGGATTTACTATAACCTCTTAACCTTTATAAATGCAGAGAGCAAGGGAATGTTAGTCAGACCTGCTATTGTCTTTCTAAAGCAATAACAGCAGATCCAACAGATATTAGTTTAAGATTTCATCAAGCATCACTTTATGTTGAGCTTGGAGATCATCAGAGAGCAGCTGAGTCATATGAACAGATTCAACGACTCTCTCCCAATAATGTTGAAGCATTGAAAAGCGGGGCTAAGGTTTCCCAGGATTTGTCCCTTAAAAGCCTTCTTTAATATAATATATTAGCAATATCATTTGTTTCCTGTTTTAAGTTTATAGTGGTATCTTTGTGCTTTTCATTATATTTGTTTTTGCAGCTTGTGGTGGCAGCATGGTTCAGACATGTGATTAATTCAACTTATATGTGCTATCAAAATAGGAGATATATTTTCTATAAAAAAGAAAAATTGGAATTTGTGAATCTTGAAATTAAAGAACTCCGCAGCTTCGTAGTTATTTTATATCAAGAATTTCTATTTCTTTTTCCTTTTATTAATTTGATACAATTATAGGAAAAAAATTCTTTTGAATTGCTTTGGAGTGTACTTATGTGTGGATGTCTAAGTCAAAAGAAACAGAAATTTTTTTGAAAGAAAATGTTCTATCTTTGAAATTGGGCCATTCCCTATGAACAAGAGCCCCTCCTCCCCCCACCCCCCCACCTTTTTATTTTATCATTTTTCCCTATTTCGTGGCCTGTTCTCTATGTCTGACTCTCACAGCACCCTTCTCTAACACTCTCATCTCACTTTCAAGATTTTGGCTAAATGCCAAACATTACTATAGCTACTGTCACCCTTTTTCTCTTTCTTTGGCTTTTTTTGTCCCACTCTAACCTATTCTAATAACTACCATTCTTAGATTCCTTCCACACATACAAATGTATTTGCCTGCTGTTGCTTTTATGGGGTGAGGCCCCATTTCCGTGTCCTTTAATTCTTCTTTTTGTCCTTTTTTCCTTTGTTTCATCATTTTTTAGATCTGACAATTCTCATTGTCCTGCTCTTTTTTTTTTTTAATTTTTAATTTTTTTTACTTCGGTTGGTTGATTAGAGATAGCGGTCGCATTACCATAGTTGCAACTTGCTAGTGTTGGAAAGGGGATTTTGTTTTTTGGGCTTAGAATGTCAATGCTACTTGGCAGTTTTGGGCAAGAAAAATATGCTATGGTTTTTAGATTTTTTTGGGTGGCATATGTTACTCATTTTTGAATTATTCTTCTTGGATCTTAAGTGTGTATCTCACTTGGAGAAGCAAAATCCCTAATTTTTTGTAGTATTTGGCAGATCTGCTAAAATATTAGGAAATCTTTTAAATGATCTAAAGAGCTTGAACAGAGACCACAAAGTGGAGACTTAGTGAGTTTGCTAGAAGCCTAGCATAATAGGATGCAGAAATTAAACCGTGTTCTTTACAAAACCATAAAGAGAAAACAAAGGGAACTGCTAGGATATTGTAGCTAAGAGGACACATTTCAAAATGCAGTGGGCCTGTATAGCTTTATTATGTTATAAATGATATCGAGGATGCTTGTTAAAAAGCCACTTATATGGTAATTGCTCATGTAGCATGGGTAATCTGTTTGTGGTATTGGTGGGCTAAAATTTAAGGTAGGTGATTTTAGGAATTTATGGTTATGGTGCAATGTAGAACTAGAGAGAGGGGATGAGGGAGAGGGGGGGAGTGGCATTAGGGAACCCTACCTGAATAAACCAAATGGCTAATAATTTCTCTGGATCTAGGGTTGGAAATTTAAAGTTGAATGATCCAGGATAGAAGAAGCTTTTTGATGGGCAGAACTATTTGGGATTTTATAGGTATTTAGGGTATTATTGGGGCATTTAGGTTCATAAATAATATTTTATACTTGTATTAAGGTTTAAAATGCAGCTTATAAGAACATAGTTAATTTTGGTTGCTGTAGATTGGCTTATTAATTATTGAGATTTTAACTTTTTGATTATCGAATTTTTTCTCCCTTGGCTTTATCTGTTCCTATCCTTTATTCTTTCATCTCTTTCCTAAGTCCTCTGTTTCCTCCTTTTCTTTTTGATTTTCCCTTTATTTGTTGTTTCTCTCATCTCCCTCATTTTGCACTAGGGTCAGGGAGAGAGAGGGAGATAGGGAGGCCTAAAACTTTGAAATTTGAACTTTGGATTAATAGTATATAGAAATCCTGGGACTGTATGTACAAAAAAAAGCCCTAGGAATTGTGAAAACTGCTATTTCTGCCTTATAATGTAAAATTGCATTAAATTTCTTAGAACTAATGCTTGAATAAAAACAAGAATATTTGATATTCTTGTATGATTTATGTCTGTATTGTTTAATTATCATTGTTTTTCCTGGATGTTCTATGATATATTAAAAATTTATTATGTGCAGAAGGGCCAAACTTCTAAACTTAGGCTTGATAATATCCTGAAACTCTAGGAATTGTGAAAATTGCCGTTTTGCCTCTAACTTGATCATGAGTTAAAATTATGATTTGCCACTGGCTGGTGCTGCCATTTTGCATTTAATTTGATTAATTGAGAAACAATGACAAAGCATTTGACACTATGTAGGGTCTCTATGAAATGCTAGATGCTGCCTCCATGGAGGTTTTCTATAAAGTTTTTCATTTTTTATCTTTTCGTCATAACCCCCCTCTCCCCACCCCTCTCCAAGTTTATGCTTTGCAAAATTTGTTCCTATTTTTAATCTTCCTCTCCATGTCTGTGGAAGAGTGTGCATGTATCAACTTTAGGTTCTTGTAGTCTCAACTCTCGTGACGGTTTGTGGTTCAAGTTGTTTGTATTTTTCCTCTTAACTTGAGATGTTCATTTTTGTTGTTTTATCCTGTCTCAGTTATATCAGAAGTGTGGTCAAACTGAACGAGCTGTTGCTATTTTGGAGGACTATCTTCATGGTCATCCAAGTGAAGTTGATTTGGGCGTGATTGATCTTCTTGTTGCTATGTTGATGGAAATTAATGCATATAAAAGGGCTATTTTGAAAATTGAGGAGGCCCAAATTATCTACTATTCAGAGAAAGAACTGCCTTTGAACTTGAAAATTAAGGCAGGAATATGCCATATTCACCGGGGAGATACAGAGAAGGCAAAGGTTTGTTACATTTATATCTTAGTGTTGGTGGTTACTTTGTCCTTTTTTGGTCAATAAAATTTGTTTAAATTTTGAACGCTTCTTGGGTCTTTCTCTAGCTTTATTTATTTGATGCAGCATCAATAATATCAAAATAAAACTTAGGAATATGGAACTTTTAATTGCCAAAACCCAAGAAAAGCTCTAGACTCACATCTCAATATGTTGATCGTTTATCTCAAATATTTGACAATGATTTATTTATATAAGCTTCAAAACATAAACAATTCAAAGCTCACTTAAATAAATATATGAGCATATTTCTGTCTTTCATCACATGCATTTGGAATGCATATCTTACAACTTTGAATTCAATTCTGTCATACATGTTACTTGGCACTAAGTACTCTTATGTGATTTCCAGATCTACTTCAGTGTCTTGGAATTTGGTAAATCACATGATCATGTCGACTTGATTACTGAAGTGGCAGACACGTTTATAAGTCTTAAGCATTTTAGCTCTGCGCTGAAGTATTACCATATGTTGGAGACTCTTGATGGAGTTGATGATGTAAGGCAAACTATTTTTTCTTCATCCACCAGCTGTTTGTTTCATTTGTTAATTCTTCTGCTCTCTTTCTTTCTCTCCCTGCAGCTTTCTTAATGGTGAATTCTCTGTATTCTCGATAATGTTAAATTCTTTAATTAATTAGTATATTGCTCTACATGTTTATTTTCTTTTTTCAATTTTGCACATGCATTGTGCTCTTATGGCAAATATATGTGCATGTGGAACCCATATTGGTTATAGAACCAATTCCTATGTATGAAACCTATATGCTACATGGAAGAATCAGCTTTTCTTTTTTCCGTCAACATTGCCCAAGAGATAAATGCATCAACTTTTAAGGTGGCTTATGTATATATATGTGTAAAATTTTAATGTAAGCCTAAGACATTTTGCAATTTATGTGTGAGGGGATCATTTGGGCTTGCCTGCCCTGGATTTGAGGGTTCGATTTATCAAAAGTTTACACAAGCATGATGTATTTAATGGAAATTCATTGGTTGGGTGCAAATTTGAGCAATTGCTGGGATTGGGTAGCATTGAGGTTCCCAGCTCCCATCTTTTTATTCCATTTGCTTTTCTTCACTTGCATTTATTTGCTTTGATAATCTGATGTAGTCAAAAGGTTTAGGGCAATTAGACTCAACAA